CTAGCACCCCAACCCTTTTGCCATTTCAAAGACCCAGGCTTAAGCCAAGTGACACTAACAATTCCCCGATAGTGGGCATTAGCTCAGAGGGGACCTGAGGACTCAGGGAGCCTAATGGGGACCATCATTTCATCTTCAAGCAGGCAGGACAGGCCCGCTGTCCAGAGGAGATGGTGCTGTGTTAAAGCATGACAGAGGCCTACTTGGTGATTCTTATTTCCATTTTTCTAGCAAGAAGGACGGTCTTCAAACTGGAAAGGGAAGAGGACCATGTCACAAGGAAGTGTGGTCCAGGACATCTCTGGCTGCTTTCAATGTCTGCCATTCTGACTGCCGGGGGGACGCAAGAGGGGCAGGAACACCACAGCTGGTTAAGGAGGGTAAGTTGAACACACAGAGGCCAGTGCCAAATCTTGACCTCAATTTCTAGCAAATCCCCAGCCTAGAACAGCCTCTCAAAAATGCTTGCAAGTGTTAAGAAAATAATAATAATGACAAGGAGAGTGCCAGCAATTCTGATATTATGCCTACTCTGTGCAGATACTGCGCTAAGCCCTTTGTATGTATTAATTCACTCAAATCCCAAAATAACCCTATGGAATGGGGCCTCTGATCAGTTCCATTTGATGGATGAGTAAATAGAGGCTTAAAGAGGTTAGGGAGACTATGCAATACATCAGGAAGGCAACGCGGGGTCAGGGTGTTGAGCCATCATGTTACATATTTATCAGAGTCCTGCTCCCCTGGCATTGTAGACTTTCAGGGTCAGGGCAGTGGTGTGCCCCCATTCCTCAAAAATCTTCCTTCCTTCCTTCCTCCCTTCCTCCCTCGTTCTTCCTTTTCTTTCTTTCTTTCTTTCTTTTTTTTTTTTTTTGTGGCACAGTCTCACTCTGTCACCCAGGCTGGAATGCAGTGATGTAATCTCAGCTCACTGCAATCTCTACCTCCTGGGTTCAAGCGATTCTCCTGCGTCAGGCTCCCGACTAGCTGGGATTACGGGTGCATGCCACTACACCGGGCTAATTTTTGTATTTTTTGTAGAGATGGGGGTCGTACCATGTTGCCCAGGCTGGTCTCGAACTCCTGAGCTCCAGCGATCCTCCCACCTCAGCCTCCCAAAGTTTTAGGATTACAGGTATGAGCCACCACACCTGGGCCATTGTCTCCTCTTTTCTGCTGTGATACCTAGGTCAACAAAGTAGGGAACTATCAGGGACTAACCTAATCCATAAATAACATTATTAAGTAACGTTCATACTTGATCCAGACTTCCTTAATTTTTACCTAATGTCCTCTTCTTGGTTCTAGGGTCCCATTCAGGACACCACACTGCATTTGGTCATCTGCCTCCTTAGTCTCTACTTGGCTGTGACAGTGTCTCAGAATTTCCTTGTTTTGGATGACCTTGACAAATTTGACAGGTACTAATCAGGTATTTTGTAGAATGTCTCTCGGTTGGGATTTGTCTGGTGTTTTTCTCAGGGCTAGACTGGGATTACTGGTTTGGGAGGAAGACCACAGAGGAAAAGGTCTATTCTCACCACATCACACCAAGGGTATATGCCATCATCATAACCTGTCACTATCGATGTTGGCCTTGATCACCTTCTGAGACAGTGTGTGTTGGGTTTCTCCACTATACAGTTGCTCTTCCCCTCCCCTTTCCAAACTCTACCCTTTATAAGGAAGCCACTACACACATCTCATGCTTACAGGGTGTGAAGTTATGCTTTACTTCCTCAGTGGGGCAATTATTAGCATATGTTATTTGGATTTCTTCTATACGAGAGATTTTCCTATTTATTTATTATTCATTTGTTCAATAATTTATACTATATATACTTCATTATGGCCTCATGGATATTTATTTCATACTTTACGACCTAGTATATTTTGGTTTCTGCAAAGCATTTGATCCTGGTATCCCTGGTATTCTGGGGGTAGGTGGTAAACTGTGGACAATCAGCTGTAAGTTCACTGAACTCCATATCTAATGAATGATCATTATCCACCCCAGAGCACCAAGTGGCTGGGAAATCAATGCCACTGCCTGATTTTAAAGCAAATGAAATAGAAACAGAGTACACTGCATTTTGTAAGGGAGGCCCCCTCCACCGCTGGAAAACAACGATCCGATTTTGTAATGCATCAGGGGATATGATGGGTAGTGAGTATAGATGCAAAGTATATTTCCACGGGTCTCGGTCAATACAGTGTGAGCAGAAAACCACCCCTACAAGTGCCTCGGGGCCCTGTCCATGGTCCTGCCCCGCATGTTTAACCAGCCTTGGGGATTCAGACACACCAAGCACTGCTTCTCCAGCCCGCAGGCAGCAGCACAGCTGAGACTGACAGAGGTAGGATGGTAGATTCTCTTTCTTGACACATACAATGTGAGGAAATGAACAAGACGAAATTAAATGGGAATAAGGGCCAAGAAACAGGCTTATATTCCAGAAATTATTGACACAGATAACAGGCCCGAATGCTTCCACAAGCCAGGATTGTTAAAAGAAAAAAAAAAAAAAAAAGAAAAGAAAAAGGAATTGTGTTACAGTAAGAGAGACTAAAAGGTGACAACAATCACATACATTGCACAGTCCTAGAGAGGAAACAGCAAAAATGGACATTTTGGGGTCAAATAGGGAAATCTGAAAAAGGTCTGCATATTAAACGAGATGAAAATTTATTGAAGCAGAAAAGTGATGATCATTTACCGGCAAAAAAATCAGGTTACAAAACAGTATGCACAGTATGATCTCATTTTCTGGAGAAAATTGACATATAAGCATGGAAACAGCTGGAAAGGCCTGACAGAAGTGTCATCGAGGCGCTGCGGGAGAGATAGGACACAATACGTTTTATTTTGCTTGTCCCTATTTCCAGTTTTCTGCAGTGCATATCCACCGCTTCTGTAGTAATATCAGAGTATGTTTTTAAAAGAAAGAAATCACTGACGCTCCCCCAAGGGTGGAGAATCCCTGGCTTGGCAGAGGTTTCTAAAACAGATCCCTGGAGGTTTTGGTGGCCAGAAACTTAATATGAGTGGACAGTGCAGAGGCAGCCCCACCCTGAGCTGCGTGCATGTGTGAGGTCTTGGGGCTAGTACAGTCTTGGGTGGGCGGGGGGGCGGTCTGCTGGTCCAGCCCTTTCATGTTATTGCTAGGAAAACTGAATCACAGAATTAGGTGATGGCAGCTCCAGGGCCAGAAGCCAGATGTCTGGCTACTGGGTCATATGGAAATGGCCTAGGGCTTCAGGAATTGGGGTATGTGGCCTGGAGAAGGGAAAATGGGAGTAAGGAGCTAGGAAGGAGAGAAGGGGCATGAGTGCTATTTTCAAATATTTAAAGGCCCCGGCAAAGAAGAGAGACCCATGTGAGTCCCTGTGCAGAATGGTGATGACTAAGTGACGAGCAGGTCTGTCTCTAGAGCGTATGAGGGAGAAGGTTCTAATGGCAGGAACTGTCCAGCCGGGGGAGAAGTGGGTGAGGCTTGCTGGGCACGTGGCCGAGGTTGGTGGCCCCTGCCAGAGGTTGCTGGGAGACCCTTCCCACCACTGAAGCTCTGTGGTTCGGGGACTCCAGGTTTCAGCCAGAGCTGGTGGCTTCTTTACCCGACCTGCAGCCTGTGTCCTGAGAGGAAGGAGCGGGACTATACCTACACCAGGAGTCGGCTCAGCCTGCCCCAGATGGGAACCACCGGGAAAAGGGAAGGGTGTGTCTGGCCTTTGGGGAAGAAAGGTCATGGTGGCAGCAGGAGTGCCCCTCAGCAGAGCCCCGCAGAGGGCAGTCTGGGCTCTCACAGGCACTGCAGTGGTGTTTCCTGGGGTGGGTACCTGAGTTCTCAAGCCCTGAAGCTGCCTCGCTCTCTTCTGCCCACCGCTCTCAGCAACTCACAGGTCCCGGCCCATGCCCAGGTGCCAGTGAGAGATAATTCTCCATCGCCTCTCACTGTCTGTTGACATGGAGGCACAGTTCCAACCTGGCCATCATCCAGCTTCCCCCATGTTCTGAAATGCCTGGTCTGACCTGTCCCGGGAACACAATGCCAGCCAGTGCCCATTTGAGGCCCATGGCCCCAGGCCCTCCATGCAGGGCCTGAGGCCTTAGATGGTCTTGGAAACCCACTTCTCAGGGCTTTTGTCTCCAGGGGAAATCCCTGACCATTTCAGCCAGGTGGGTGTTCTGTCTTCCCCTTAAGACACAGTCCCCAGTCCCCACGCCGGTGCCACCAGAGGACTCTGGTGTGGTGATATGACTCCGTCCACCCTACTGGCTGCACCGACCCTCCGCTTCCAGCCCTGTTAACAATCTACGTAAGTCCTGCTTTCCCCAAATAGATGCCACATGAAAGCCCTCTGCTCAGCCACCACTCCCCGAGCCTGGCTCTGCCTGGCCTGCTGCAGCCAACACAGCCGGCTGCCAGCCTGGCTGCCCAGCAGAGCCTGAATGAGAGAGGTCACTCGGCACTGGGCTGGGAATACACGGTGGCCCCAGCAGACACCTCCTTCTGTGTCTGGGCAGGGTGGGTGCAGCCAAGGAGCCAAGGCTGCAGAGCACCCCTACCTGTCCCTTTCACCCCCTGGCCCGGCCCCGCAGGGCGTACACAGACCCTTGCATCTTGTTCTCCGCAGCTGGGGGTGGGGTGGGGAGCCTGGGACCAGATTCTGGTAGGTCTCTCCCCAAGACAAGGGTGGATGTGCAGACCGCTCAGAAGGACCCGCACGGCCGAGGAGGGAAGGTGGGCGCAGAAGCCACCCTGGGCGTGACGCGTGATGCTCGGGGCACAGGCGCCGGGGAGCGGGGGAAAGCGAGGGCCCGGCTGTGCCGGGGATACCCGGGGGACCGAGGTCCTGGGCTCCGGCGGAGGGAGGGGATTGGGAGGGAGGCCACTGCCTCGGGCCACGCGGGTGACCCGGCGGGAGAGCTGGGGGAGGGGCGGCGGGGCTGGGGGCTGGGCTGGGGTCCCCGGACCGGGACTGGGGTCGGGCCAGCTTACCTCCTCGCCCTGGCCGAAGCGCAGTCCGAGCGCCGCGACGCGTTCCACGCGCAGGAAGCCGTCGGGGTCGCGGCCGCACACCTCGAACACCTCGCGCAGGCGGCGCACGGAGCGCAGCAGAGCCGCGGGGGCGCCCGCCCAGCCCGCGCCGCCCGCCATCCGGGCCGGCCCGCAGCTCAGCCCGGACCCCTCGCCCGCCAAACCCGCCGCCCTCCCGCCGCCGCCATCGCCGCGCGCCCTCCGGAGCCGCCCGCCTGGGTCTGCGCCGCGCAGCCTCCGCCCGGTGGCGGCCGCGGCCGATCAGTGTCAGCAGCGGCGCCGCAGCCCCCGCCGCTCCAGAGGGGAAGGGAGGGGAGGGGAGGGGAGGGGAGGGAAGGGGAGGGGGAGAGGGGAGGATAAGGGGGAGGGGCAATGGGGGAGGGGAGGGGCAATGGGGGAGGGGAGGGGCAATAGGGGGGAGGGGAGGGGAGGGGCAATAGGGGGGAGGGGAGGGGGCGGGGGCCATGGCCAGGAGGCAGGAGGAAGGGAGGCTGGCAAGCCCAGTAGCCAGGGCCAACTGTGAACTCTAAAAGACCAGCGATCCTCCAGGTCAGGCAAATCCATGTGGGGCCCGGCAGAGTATAATGTGGCTATAGCAGTCGCCTCCTCCGCTGACCTCAGTTTCCCTCCGGCGACAATAGGGGGGAGGGGAGGGGAGGGGCAATAGGGGGGAGGGGAGGGGCAATAGGGGGGAGGGGAGGGGAGGGGCGGGGGCCGCGGCGAGAGCGGGAGGGAGAGAGGGAGGCGGCAGCGGCGGCGGGGACGCTGCAGACAAAAGGAGCCCGCGTCCTCCCGAGTGGGGCCGTCCACGCGGGGCCGGCAGGCGCAGCGCGCTGCCAACGGTCGCCTCCTCCGCGGCCTCAGTTTCCCTCCGCGTCCCGGAGCCCGCCCCTTCCTCTGGACACCCGGAGCCACCCGAAGGCCCCGCCCTGCCGGAGGATTCCGCAGGGTCGTGCCCCTCTCCGCTGCCCGTGCCCGCTGCCGCGCCTCGCGTCTCCCGAGCGGTCAGGATGTCCTGGGTGCCTCCTGCGTTGGCGCGTTCCGTGACCACATTCATGTCGGAGGAAGCTGAGGCCCAGAGAGGTCGGACTCACTCTAGGCCACACAGCTCGCGAGAGGCAGGGCCGGGATTCGCTCCCAGCTCTGGAGGGCTCTGGACTCCGCTCTTCACCTCGGCGCCGCGGTCTCCCGGCGCTCTACTCCAAGACAGCAGTTGTGGGGCCATCGGGCGGGGGGAGGGCACAGAGAGGAGGAGCAGGGAACTGAACCCCAACCTGGACCCGGGACCCTGCGACGGGGAGGTGAGGAGAAAACCAGGATGATGCCCAAGGGAGGAAAAGCGAGGCCCTTCCAGAGGCCTGCCTGTTGCAGGACCCAGGGCTGCCCCACGCCTGGAGGAGGCTTCCTCCCTTTCCCCGGGTTCCCACCATCACACCTCCCTGGCAGCCCGCATGCCCCAAGCTCAGAGAGTCCAGGACAGAATCTCTGTCCTGGTGGCTGCAGGCTCCAGGTCAGGACCTTGGCCTCCTCCCATTAGTGCTCAGCGGAGCCTCCACCCCAGCTTGTACTGACTTTCCAGCCCCGCTTCGGGGCCCTGCAGGACCGGGCCGGGCTCTCCTCTGCTCTCCACCTCCTTGCTGGGCACATCAGGTCTTTGTGGCAACGATTGGCCCCAACCCAAAAACAGACCTTGGTTGAGGCTACTCCCACCTGTGCTGTCCTGCTCAGCACAGAGGTTTCCTCTTCCGGGAAGGCTTCTCTGATGGCACTCCATCTTGTCTTCTATCCTGAGTTCTAGGCCCTTCTTCCAGATGCCCAGTTAGTTCTTCATTCTCTAGTGGGATGCCCATTTTCCCTACCATGCTGGGAAGCCCTCCAGGGCAAGACATGTCTTAATTACCTTCAAGTCCCTGATCTCCAGCCAAGAGTGGGCCCAGAGGAAGCCCCACCCAGAGGGGATGGGCCCGCCCATTGTGTGAGGAGCCAGGAGCAATGTAGTGGGAGTCCGGGATGAACTGCATGGCCTCCCCTAGCTGGGCCTCGGTTTGTACCTCTGTGGTCTTCCTGCTCAACCCTGAATATATCCTGCGCAGGGACTGCCATTTGCCTTCTGATAGTGGGCGGGGCCGCCTTCTTTCCAGCCCTGGCTCCTGGGATGAACCTGGCTTTTAGCTACTCTCCTTTGACCCTTCGGTTCCTCTGAGAGCCACCTCTTGGGAAGAGAGACCTGTGGTTCTGAGGATTGAGGAGTCCGAAATGTGTGAAAGCGGGAAAGGGGAGGCCTTGGGAGTGGAGTGGGGGTATTCGGCTGAGTGAGAGCGTCTCTGCTAGCTGGATGCCCCTCAGCCGGATACTAACATATTTTAGCTGGTTTCCTCGCCTGTACAGTGGGGATAATAGTGCCTTCCTTTTAGAGCGACTGAAGATGAGAGCGAATCTAAGCAATGCTGCTTTCCCCCGCCTACCCTGCAAAATGGAGGTGGAAATGGAGAATAAGGACGGGCGGTTGGCAGGGAGAGACCGGCTGCTGGAGATTCAGCCAGCTCCCCGGCAAGGAGGTAGGGAGTGGAAGCTGGGGGCTGCTGCCTGCCCCTGGGACCCCGATATTAGTTCGTCCAAGGTCAGCTTGTGCGGTTTTCTCTCACCCAAGGGGCTCAGCACAGAAAGGAGATGGCCAGGAGCTGGGGCTGCCCCCTGGTGGGGGCTGCAGAAGTGGCTCTCTGCGCTCTGCCTGGCATTGAATGCCCCCTTACTGGGGACAGGGGAGCTGGAAGACTCACCCACTTCAGCTGGCAGAGGCGGGGACCTCAGGCCTGAGCATGAACAAATCCCAAGTGAACCAAGACAGGATCCTGCCATGAGATTAGCCAGTTCTTGTCAAAGATAGGATCATCACAAATTCAAAAATCCCCCAGGAGAGCTTTCCCTGACCCGACTCTCCTTGCCCAGGTCTCTGCAGTTTTGTCTCTGGTGGGCGATGGTTTGAAGGACACCTGCCTCGCCCACCAGTGGCACTGGGTCTTTTGCTCACCGCTGTGCTGCTGGGGCCAGCAAAGCACATCACAGGCATTCTTTCTGGGGTTGTCACATTTCTGTGGCGCACCTATGTTGTGTCGGGTATGCTAGGATGACAGTGAAAGGGGAGCAGCCACTTGCTGAACTTGATGGGGACAGTCATGGCCCAGTGTGATCTACATTGAGGTCCCAGGCCCTAGGAGCCCAAGAGGGCCTGCTGAGTGCCTACCGAAAGGTCCCTCAGAGATGGTGAAATTTATGGAGCCTTGGGTCCTTGGACGTGGACCTGGGACCACTAAGGCTCCCATCACCTTGATCGAAGAGCTCAAAGTGCAACCCCGAGCAGAAGCAGCAAGAGAATATCAATGTCAGGACCGGCTGCAGGACTGGGAACCTCAGGGTGAAGGGGGTTGCTCCAGGAAAGCAAGAGGTCCCCATGGATAGAGTGGGAAGGCGGGGAGCCTCCCTACTGTTCTCCACTTCCTCCAGGTGACCTCTGATTCTCCAGGGGATTTCCAACAGCTGCAGCAGCCTTGTCAGGCTGGAAATATACTGGGAAATATACATGGAAGGGACAGTTGGGATTCTGGCCCCTTCTCTAGGAAGAAACAAGTTTGATCAGGTCCTTCCCCTGCTGAAAACTCAATGGCCACCATTGCCTGAGCTGGCATTGTGCGGTGTCTTCATACTCTCCTGCGCTCCTTAACCCTAGTGTGGGAGCATCCAGGCTCCCTACTGCCTCCCTCTGTTTAGTGGGTGGGAGGCCTCAATCCTACTCCCTCCCAATTCCACTTTCTCTAATTCCTGTCCTTGTGTTGTGGAAGTGGCACTTCCTACAGGAAGCCTTTCATGACCACCCCCATCTTGCCCCCTTGGCCACCTCTCTCATGTGCTCCTGCGGAGAGGTGAAAGGACAGACTGTGCAGCCCACTTACAGGTGCGGATAAGGCTGTGGTGAGAGTCAGTAAGTTAATACATCCATGTAAGTGTCAGAACAGTGCTGCTGGTTAGTGACAGCTATTGTCCTTGTGACTATCCATACCATCTCTTACCCCTGTTGTCTATCACTGGAGTATCTGGGAAACTGTATGGAAGGTCGTAGGAGTGACCATGAGGTCCCTGGTAGCAGGGACTATGTCCATTTCTCTCCTGATTTCTGTAGCTCCTAAATAATGCCCATACACACATAGTTAGGGTCTGTGTAGGAATAAATTAAGGAATGGACAAATATGGTGTGGTAGCCTGAAAAATGCCCCCTTAAATGATATCTATGTAACAATCCCTGTACATCAGTGGTCCCCAACCTTTTTTGGCACCAGGGACTGGTTTCAGACAAATCGGGGGAAGAGGATCTCGGGGTGAAACTGTTCCAACTTAGATCATCAGGCTTCAGATTCTCATAAGGGACATGCAACCTAGATCCCTCTCATGTGCCATTCACAATAGGGCTCCCACTTCTATAAGAATCTAATGCCACTGACCTGACGGAAGGTGGCGCTCAGGCGCTAATGCCCACTCACCCGGCGCTCACCTCCTGCTGTGGTTCCTGTCAGGCCATGGACTGGTAATGGTCTGTGGTCTGGGCGTTGGGACCCCTGCTGTAAATGTTACCTCATTAGAAAAAGGGTCTTTGCAGATGTAATTAAGGATCTGGAGGCTGGGTGCGGTGGCTCACGCCTGTAATCCTAGCACTTTGCGAGGCTGAGGCAGGCAGATTGCTTCAGCCCAGTAATCTGAGACCAGCCTAGGCAATATGATGAAATCCTGTCTCTACTAAAAAATACAAAAATTAGTCGGGCATGGTGCCATGTATCTGTAGTCTCAACTACTAAGGAGGCTGAGGTGGGAGGATGGCTTGAGCCAAGGAGGCAGAGGTTGCCGTGAGCCCAGATCATGCCACTACACTCCAGCCTGTCTCAAAACAAACAAACAAAAAACAAAAAAAAAAAAAACAAAAGCAGCAACAACAACAACAAAAACAACACCACAACAAACTAGGATCTGGAGATGGGGGCTTACTCTGGGTTAGCGAGGTAGACTCTTAATGCAATCACACATATCGATAAGATGGATCAGAGGCAGATTTGACACATAAAGAGAGGGTAATGTGACCACAGAGGCAGAGATTGGAGTGGTGCAGCCATGAGCCAAGGAGCATCAGCAGCCATCAGAAGCTGGAAGAGGCAAGGAGCAGAATCCCTCCCAGAGCCTCTGGAGGGCCCACAGCCCTGCTGACGCCTGGATTTGGGCCTTCTGGCCTCCAGAACTGTTAC